AGATTAAACCAGAGAAAGAACCTTTACAGCCTTTTCTCCCACCACCCTCACCTTCCTAATTATTTTAAATGTACAAAGGGCTTGTCATAAGCTGTTTAATCTCTCTCTCAGTTTTTTTCTTTTTAATAATCCCAGGGCCTGGGGTTCTTCTCAGCATCCTTCTCAGATCCAGCCCATCCTCCTGTGGCAGTGTAGGGCCAACAATTTTTTTCCCCTATTTACTTCTTTTCACAAAAAAACTAAAAAAAAGACATCAAAAAGCTTTACTTTAAGCTGCCACTTTAACAGATATATGTGAAAGTGCAATTTATTTATTTTTTGATTAATCCCCCAGTCCCAGTGGCCTGAGTCTCTCCCTCCTGCCCACCTAGCTGTTGGTGTTTTACAGATGGGGAGCCCTGAAACATTGAGTGACCCACCCCAAAAATCCATCCAATGGATTTGCTGGTCTTGGACTGGAGATTCGTCTGGGGAACAAAACAAAACAAAACAACAAGCCAAAGGTCAGTCACCAAGCAGGGAAGGGACCAAGGTGTTTCAAGGTTGGGATGTTGCAATAGGACAAGGGGTAATGGCTTTACAATGAAAGAGGGTCAATTAAATTTCATATAAGGAAGGAATTCTTTACAATGAAGGTTAGGAGCCCTGGCACAGGTTCCCAGAGCAGCTGTGGCTGCCCCTGATCCCTGGCAGTGCCCAAGGCCAGGCTGGACAGGTTGGAGCACAGTGAGAGGTGTCCCCAAATCCTTTCAGGGGGTTTGGAGCTAAATGACCTTTAAGGATCCCCTCCAGCCCTGACAATTTCTATGATTCCATCACTCCTTGTCCCACCTGCAGGCAGAGGACAGCGAGCACCTGAGGGATGATCCCTGCCGGGCTTTTCTCCTCTTCCTCGCCCCGAGGCTCCTCCTGGCTGGGGCTGCGCAGGGCGGGGGGAGCCGGCGGCGCCCCCAGCCCCATGTGCCGGCAGATGCTGCCCTCTAGAGCCTGCACCCAAATCTCGCCTTTTTCCAAGGAAAAAGCTGCGAGAATGCGAGTCCTGACAATCCTGACAGTCAGAATGGGAGAACCGGTGGTTACTCCCCCCGGGGTGAGAGCACTCAGGGGGACCAGCCCCAGGGCCATGGGGGATGCACAGGGGAGCCTGGACTATCTGCCCAGACCATCAGCTCTCCAAATAAAAATAAAAATTAAAATAAAATAAATAAATTAAGCATAATAATAAAACTAAAACTAAAAATTAAAATAAAAATAAAATAACAACAAGACAACAACGATAATAGAAGTAGTGGGAAGAAGAGGAAGAAGAGGAGGAAGAAGAAGAGGAGGAAGAAGAAGAAGAAGGAGGAGGAGAAGGAGGAGGAGAAAAGAAGAAGAAGAGGAAGGAGAAAAAGAAGAAAAGAAGAAGAAGAAGAAAAGGAGGAGGAGAAGGAGGAGGAGAAAAGAAGAAGAAGAGGAAGGAGAAAAAGAAGAAAAGAAGAAGAAGAAGAAGAGGAAGAAAAGAAGGAGGAGGAGAAGGAGAAGAAGAAAAGAAGAAGAAGAGGAAGGAGAAGAAGAAGAAAATAAAAAGAAGGAGGAGAAGAAGAAGGAGGAGAAGAAGAAGGAGAAGAAAAGAAGAAGAAGGAGGAGAAGGAGAACAAGAAGAAAAGAAAAAGAAGAAGATATTACTAATTTTAGTATTAAAAACTGCGTTTTCCTAAATAATTTCCCTTAATAATAATAAAATAAATATAATTTATTTTAATACTAATACTAATTAGTAATTTAATACTAAATACTAATTTAATATTAAAATTAGTAATATTAATTAAAAACTAAAAAATGCTAATACTGAATAGTAATTTAATACTAAAACACTAATTTAATACTACTAAATAATAATAATAATAACAATAATAATAATAATTTCCCTTTAAATAACTTCCCAGTTATTCCATGCTACTAAAACCCACTCTGACAGGTTTTTTTGGGGTGAATGGCCACTACCCCCTGGGATTTCTGCCGGGACAGACCCAGCAGAGCCCTGATCCCACAAGCTGGAGGGGAACAGGAGAGCAGGGCTGGGATGGGATCAGCCGGGATTTGGGCTGAGCCTCACTAGAGGGCAGGAGAGCTCTGTAACTGCGCAGCTCCAGCCTCCCCGGCATTTCTTGCACAATTTCCCCGTTCAGTGGGTCAGCTGTACAGCTCAGTGACTCAGGAAATGACCCTGTGGGGCTGCACTTTGTGGCTGTGGCTTTCCCTCGGTGCTGCCAGCCCGTCTGGGGCTGCCTCCAGAGAGGGGTTCCACCATCTGCAGCTTTTGCTGCCTTCTTCTCCCAGCGAAGAAAGATTCAGGGAAGGAGGCTCCAGATGTTGCCCCCACATCTGGCACGTCTCTGGCTGCAAGGTGAACTTTAGCACTGTGCTCTCATCGATAACAAAGCAGGTACCCAACATATTCTTCATTTCTTCTTCCTGATGTAGCATCAGCACTTGAAAATTTGGCTTTTTGTGGGGTGTTCAACATTTCTCCCTCTTGAAGGCGACCAGCTCCTGGCATGCCTTTCCCTGTACGCAAATGTGCTGCAAGAACCATCCCTGTGGGTCTCACACCATTCTGTACCAGCCTGAAAAGTGACATCTCTCCTCACAGATCCTCTCCAGCCACAGCTCTGCCCTTAACAACACGCTCAGATGGACACCATCAGCTCTGAGCTGTTTTTCCCCTGCTGACTCCAGGGGATATTTAGAAGCATCAGGTTTTCCCAGCGTTGTGAGTTACATCTCAATGCAGAAACCACGAGAGAAACTCCAGCATCCCCCGGAAGGCAACACATCATGGGCACAACGGGGCTTTTTATATCAGAGACTATGAAAAGACCTTCCAATTTAGTAGCTGTTCTGTTCATATCTCACATTATTGTACACAAGCTCCTTCTCCCTTGCCCAAGCCTGAAAACGGGAGGGTGTAAGAATAGCAGCTTGTTACTTCATCTGTCTGCTTCCTGTGTGTACTCCCAGTCGGGTCTGTTCTCATTAGCATCACCCTCTGCAGCTCCCTGTTACTACTGCTCACTAATACCAGTGAGTCAGCACAGCTCAGCGTGGCTGCCACAGCCACCATTTACATCTGTGTGAGCCAGGGGAAAGCCTCCACCTAAATCTTGCTTTTTTAAGATTGGATTTATTAAGCAAATGCACTCAGGAGCTCTCCATAAGCCTCTCAACGAAATAATTAACTAGAGAAAAATGCATACTCTGCCTCGTAGACATTTCCTGCTATACCTTCTGCCTAGCCCTGGGTGTGTGAGATGTTTAAACAGGCTCATGAAGTCACTTTCAAAGTTGTGTGTAAGGAAAGCTTACAAAAATAGCAGCCTCGTGAATGATTTATTTGGTAAGGGAAGTAAACAGCCTCTGACAGCTCACCAGGCTGCAGATTTATTGGCCCGTAGCACAGGGCTACCTGTAAGTCATTGTTGAGATGTTTGTCCCTAATTAAGTTGTAGAAATGAGTTCATTTCCAAACAGGACCATAATTATTTTATTATTGCCCGGAGCCCTCTCCCCGGGCTGTGCTGTCACCTCCCTGTGGAGTGAAGCCACTTGTCCCCAGGGAGCTGCCAGTGGTCCTGGGCTCAGATTAAAGCAGTGTGTGCAGGGTGGGGTGGCAGACACAGAGCTGGGGGTGCCAGGGAGCTGGAGCAGGGTCACAGAGCTGGCTGGGGCTGCTCTGGGCCTTCCAGCAGCCCTGCTGGGCAACCTGAGCTCACGTTTGCCTGCCCTGAGTGTGGGTTTGGGGTGTCTGTAGGTGCTGTGAGGATGCTCTGGTGTGACCGTGTCTACAGGGGTTTTCAGGATGAGAGAAGAGATGTAGATCTGATTCCATGTTTCAGAAGGCTTGATTTATTATTTTATGATATATACATATATTACATTATAACTATACTAAAAGAATAGAAAGAAAGGTTTCATTTCAAAAATCTACCTAAGCTAAGAATAGAATAGAAAAGAATAGAATAGAAAGGTCTGTGGCTCAGACAGAGAGGGAGAGCTACCTCTGCTGTGAGTGGTCACTAATTCTAAACATCTACACGAGACCAATCACAGATCTTGATGCCCATCCCAGGATCCCGATGCCTATCCTGGGATTCCATCCCTCGATCCCGATGCCTATCTCAGGATCCCGATGCCCATCCTGGGATTCCATCCCAGGATCCTGATGCCCATCCCACGATCCCAGTGCCCATCCCAGCATCCCAATGCCCATCCCTCGATCCGATGCCCATCCCGGGATTCTAGCCCAGGATCCCGATGCCCATCCCACGATCCCAGTGCCCATTCCAGCATCCCAGTGCCCATCCCAGGATCCCGATGTCCATCCCAGGATCCTGATGCCCATCCCAGAATCATGATGTCCATTCCAGGATCCCGATGCCCATCCCTCGATCCCGATGCCCACCCCTCGATCCCGATGCCCATGCCAGGATTCCCTCCCAGGATCCCAATGCCCATGCCAGAATTCCATCCCAGGATCCCGATGCCCATCCCAGGATCCCGATGCCTATCCCTCGATCTCGATGCCCACGCCAGGATCACATCCCTTGATCCCGATGCCCACCCCTCGATCCCGATGCCCACGCCAGGATCACATCCCTCGATCCCGATGTCCATCCCGGGATCCCGATGCCCATCCCTCGATCCCGATGCCCATCCCGGGATTCTACCCCAGGATCCCCATGCCCACCCCTCGATCCCGATGTCCATCCCAGGATCCCGATGCCCATCCGAGGATCCCGATGCCCATCCCGGGGCCCGGCGGTTCCGTGCCCGCCCCGCCGGCGGCCCCGCCCCGCGGTTCCCTTTGTGGCCGGGAGGCGGCGCCGGGCGCTGGGCGTGCGCGGCGGGAGCCCCGGGCCGCCCCTTCCCGTCGCGGCCCGCGGAGCGGGCAGGGGGCGGGCGCAGCTCCACGGCCGCCGCTGGAGCCGCTCCCGCATCGCGCCCGGCAGCAGCGGGAGCCCGGCAGCCCCGAGCGCCGGCTCCGTGCGCCGCCGGGCCTGGGCGCCGAGCGCCGGCTCCGACATGTCCGGCAAGATCGAGAAAGCAGGTGAGCGCCGGGAGGGAGGCCCGGGGCAGCCGGGAGGGGGGGACGCGCCGGGCCGGCCGCGCTCGCCGCCCGCCCCGCGGAGCCGCCGGAGGAGCCGGAGCCGCCGCGGCTGCGGGAGCCGCGGGAGGTGCCGGCGGTGCCGCGGGCCTGGCGGGCCCGGCGGGGCGGGGGGAGCCGCGCAGGGACCCCCGCGCCCGGCCAGGCTCCCCCGGGGGCTCCTGACAGCGCGGGCGGGCAGCGGGGCCGGGGCTGGGCCCGGGGCCGCGGGGGATGCTCTGCGCGTCCCCCCGGGGCTGCTCCTGCGGTGCCCGAGCGCTGTTTGGCTCGGGCTTTGTGTCTCCGCCGCGTTTTCCTTTTTCCTCGTTGTTTGCCTCTTTTCCCCCCTAGTTCCTTTATTTTATTTTTTGTGTTCTCGCACCCGTTCCGTCCTTGCCGTGCAGCCGAGCATCAGCACAGCCGGGCGCTGCAGCGCTTTGGGGCCTACAATGATTAATTTCAACTTCTCCCAACTTTCCTCTCCTGGTGTTTGTGCAGAATGAGAAAAGATGAGTCCGTGGGCAAATGTCAAGAGGGACCTTGCAGGTTTTTTCCTCCCTGTTCCCCTCTGCTTGGGTGCTCACGACAGCCAGAGCCGGGGAGGCTGCTGAGGTTCCTCCAGCTCTCACAAGGAAACGCTCAAGCACGGATCATATTGTCTCTCCGCGCTTCTGGAGTCGTGCCTGCTTCTCAGTTGTCACTTTAGATGGTTGAATGACCCTGGTTTTCTCTGTAGTGGGAGTAGTACGCTTAAAGATTCAATTAGTGTTGTGCAAATCAAGCGGCGAAGTTACGTAGTTTAATTATGTTGCGTTTAATTAGCAGAGGAAGAAATCGATGCTGTTTTGTATATTTTATTGTGGGGAATGGCTCGGCTGTCTCCTCCTGGGTGAACGCGAGGCAGGAGCATCCCGGCTCCCCAGGGCAGGAGCATCCCGGCTCCCCAGGGCAGGAGCATCCAGGCTCCCCAGGGCAGGAGCATCCCGGCTCCCCAGGGCAGGAGCATCCAGGCTCCCCAGGGCAGGAGCATCCAGGCTCCCCAGGGCAGGAGCATCCAGGCTTCCTAGGACAGGAGCATCCAGGGCAGGAGCATCCAGGCTTCCTAGGACAGGAGCATCCAGGCTCCCCAGGGCAGGAGCATCCAGGCCTCCCAGGACAGCGGCCAGGGATGCAGGAAGGATCCCCGGTTCCAGGGGATGCGGGTCGGTAGCATCTCCTCCTGGCCGTGCTCATCGAAGCCTGGTGTGCTCCGTGTGTTCCGCAGCGGCCCCGGGGGATGAGCAGCCTGCCAGCCGCCTCTCCGTGCAGCACCTCGGCGTGCTTCCAGCTCCCCGCGCTGAGTTACTGTCTGACAAGTGTGCTCAGCATCAGGGGACAAATGTTGCTCCAGAAATATCCCAGGTTAATCCCGTGCACCGTCCCTTTCAGAGGATCCCGGCGTAGCTTTGCTCCTGCCGAGCTTTTCCGCGCTTGTCCCTTACTCCAGCGAGCAGGGAAGGTGTTAGCAGAGTACACAGACCTCGGGCCAGCTCTGGAATAATTGCCACTTGTTTATGCTGGAGGTGAATTTGGCTTGGGATTTAGTAACTGTAGACAGTAATTACAGACGTATAAATAAGTGATCACGTTTTGTTTATTCGCGTGCAGTAAATAACCCTGGGAGAATAGTAAATAGAGCTCCACACCAGAGAGGCAGCGAGAGGAGTTCAGGCACAGGAAGATCACTCTGGAGACACACACAAACTCAGCACGGTTCCATAAACAATGGAGCAGAGAGGCCAAGAAATACCATATAAATATAAAATGCCATATAAAATACCATATAATAGCAATAAAATACCATATAAAAGTCATACCCTGCACAACTAGAGACCAGCCACACTGAGCTCCCACTGAAGAATTCAAGGATGGTGCAAGATCCATCCCCAGGTGGGTGCTGTGAGTGTGCAGGTGGAAGATGCAGTGGGGGAAGCCCTGATGCAGGGACATTTGTTCTAATGGAAGGCTATCACAGTGATGATTTGCTGAACAAGAGAAACTATAAATCTGCTTGTACTTTCATTTCTTTAGGAAGGATATTAAAAAAAAAAAAATAATCCAGTCCAAATATAAATGGGAAGAGAAGAGACAGGAAAGGAGGGCTGGGAGCCAGCTGTTCCAGAGCAGCACTGTCTCCATCTCTGTTCCTGAGTGTTTGAACTTCTGATTGACACAAACAGTTTGGTTAATAGCGTCACCGAATAAACACAGCCTGTAACACCACAGCCACTCAGGGGTAATGTTTGTCAAAACGTGTACAGTAGCAGAACAAAGGATACAGGCTCATGAAACAAACGCTGTGAGGTCCAAGGTCTGTGCATTCGTGTACATTTGAATTTATTTTTCTTACAGGGACAGAAATTCATGCATTATGTTATAAATAAAATAGGCTATTGCCTGGTCACAAGCCATGGTGACAGATTTGGAGTGGGCTTTGGTTTAACTTGTGTGTCCATATAGACAGGCTGCTGGAAAAAAATGTGTTACCCCTTGCAGGGTTAGACCCCCAGAGACCCTCAAACATCTGCTCCCCGGGTCCTTAACTGAAACACCTTGTTGGCACTCAATAAAAAACAATAATAAATGATTAGAGATAACAGCTTCCATCCTGTCCATGAGGGAAGAGCAGACAAGGCTCCCTCTGGAGCCTCTCAGTGCTGCTGTTTAATCAACAGAAGGGTCACTGTGGAGCAATTCAGAGCTGTGCTTTGCAGTGAAGGGCAGCCATCTGGTAGTGTAGAAGATGGTATGTTTGGGGTTTGCTGGTGTTAGAGCCCCTGCTTTGTTAGGCTCCCACCAGGAGACTTCCAGACACTTTTCCAAAGCAGAACCCTCCTTGGCTGGAAGAGGAGGAATGGCCACTGGCTTCTCTTTACTCCAGAACTGTGACTTTTTGTCTTCACTTTCAGAAAATATTTGCTCTCTCCCTTTTTGATGTGAAATCCAAAATAGAGATGCCAAGAAAGAGCAGAGAAGGTCACAGATTCTGCTTTGGTTTCCTGTTACCATGGCGATGCACGAATTCCTGTTTTTATTTACCTGATGGATTACGTGCTGCAGGGAATTCAGCTACTCTGCATCATTCAGGGAGAGTAAGGGAGGAATTAGACACCAAAAGCTTGTCATGAAACAAGTCAAAAATGCCCTTTTATTAAAACCAAATAACATATGGGTGCCATATTTTGAAGGTTTATTCTACTTGGTGTTTTCACTCTTAGTCTTGTTATTTCTTTCAGGGTTTTCATTTCCCTTGTGAACTTGCTTTTTCAATAGCTGCCTGCTAAAGGTTGTTTGAGAGAGCTGTTTCAGGTGTTAAATACCTGGAGTGCAGGCAGTCATCTCTGTTCTGCTCAGGACTCATTGGGATGTGTTTATTCCCAGTAGACCAAAAACACTGTTGGCTTTACCTTTTACTCATAAGCACTTGCCTGATAAGCAAATTCACCTCAAATTGTCATCCTTGGGTATTGATGGGATAAACATCTAGGGATAATTCCAGGAGAACTCTGTTCTCAAGAAAATGACAAAATTCAAGAAACAATTCAGAAGGTCACATTATTCTCATCTTTTTAGGAATTTAATGTTCTGTTTGGAGTCCTCCATGCCAATTTATGTGATCCTGAATTGTTCATCTGCAGATGTTTTTGTACAAATGTGAAGTTTCCTGGAGATTTTGTTTTTGCAGAGGGTATATTTTGAACTGTCATCATGACTTGGATCATTTTATGGAAATTAGCCTGCCTGTTTTATATACCTGCTCAGTTTTATGCAGTTTCTCTTTGTCTGTCATGCTTAGGTGGGTTACTAGGCAGGACTCTCTCAGTTCTGTTGTGCATTCACAGCTGTACCATATTTCTCAATATTAAGTGAGGGGTTTCAGGTTAGAAAATTTTGCAGTTGACCAGTTTAAGTGCTTCTCTGCTTGTGATTTTCAAGCAAAATAGGAGTTACCTGCAAATCTGAAAATCAGACCCTTCAAAAAACTTCTATCTCAACCCCAAAGGTAATTCAGTTCCAATTCTTCCTTAGTCAGGCTTTTAGCACCTCCTGTTTCCTCCTGTGTGCTGCTCCCATAGAGACATCCCACCTGTGTTTTACTGTAACTTCTTTAAACAGCACCAGCCATTCAGGCTGTGTTGTATTGCACTGAATAGTTTATTTAGTTGTTGTTTTTGTACTGGGCGTTTGGTAATTTTCACACGGTCAGGTACAAGATGATCGCTGGTTTCTACAAAATGGCACAAGGAGCAGAATTTGGCATCTTTTGTAGGCCGCTGTAGGCTGACAGGTGGTGTGTTCCAAAATGCAGCCTTGTGGGATCACTGCTGCAGGATTGAGATGGTCTTAGCAGTTGCAAGAAGGAAGTGGGCAAGGAGTGGAGCAAGAAGACAGCTGAAGGCTACTGGAATGTGAAGCAGCTGGGTTGCGCCTTAGTCAGTGAAAATCAGAAACTGGAAACAATTGCTAAATTTATTTTCAGGCGTAAGCAATCGTTTTCCTTGAACCACAGTGACTAAATATATCTGTTGGTTGTGATTTTTATGTGGTGGTAACTCACTGGCTCTTGCTAACCTCCTGGCAAGACAAGAGAGGAGTGCAAGTTCACTGTCAGTCAAGATCGTAAAACAAATATCCCTCATTTAGATCTCTTGATTCACTTGTGTGCCTCTGCTTGCTGCAATGTATTGCCTGAGTGGAAGAAACCTGGGTGTTTGTTTCTAGGGAAGGGAGTCAGTCTGTAACTCCTCTTTCAGATTTCCTTGGGGTTCTGTTCATATTTTTGAAAGTTTTGAATGGCAGTTGATGCTCTAGTAACTCTAGTGTAGGTGCAGGTAGAGTCTAATGCAAAGGTGTGGTCTTTCTTTTTAAAGAAATATACATTAAGACCTAATTTATTCCAAAGTGGAAAGCCTGAGGGTAGAACT